GGCCCCCTCGGGCAACTCTCGTGCCCCCTGCGGTCCTGCCCCACCATTTGAGAATCACTAATTTATGGGATGCCACTGGGGAAGATGTGCTATACCAGCACTCTGAATTGGCCTCAGAAATAATCTGGAAACCAGTGAAAGTAGGAAAAAAATATTGTGACATGGTCATAATGCCTGGTTCCAGATAAAACACTTGCAATAATATTTTGCAGCAGCTGGAATTTCTACACTTTCCTCAAAAGGAGATCCACATAAGAGATACCCAAACAAGAAATTACCAGTTTAAAAAAAAATTCAAAGAGGTTCAGAAGGCCCAATGTGAACTCAAATTGCACTTAATAATACCTTACTTTACAGCCAACAAGGTGGTTGTTGCAAATATGCAACAGGATGCATTCTTCAACTATCTCTATTCAAATCATCCTCAAAAGAGTTGGCAAGGAAATTCTACAGCTGCCCTGAGACAGTTTACCTTTTCTCCACCAGCCTCAAATAAAGAGCTGGGGATGAATCTCCAGAGTATATGGCTGGGGATGGGGAACAGAGAGGCACAACCCAGAAAGAAAAGAAATGAGATGACTATGCTAAATAACATTGGGAAGGAGAAAGGGGCTTGCTTGGCTGGATCCCTAGTATTGGTTTGGGGTGAGGAGGGTGAGGAAGTGCAAGTGGGCATCTGAAATCACAGAGGAAAGGTGAAAGGAAGGTTGAACGGCCCTGACAGCAGATAAATGAGGGGGACCAGGAGTAATGAATCACCAAACCTAGAAAAACCTGGAGATGGCTGCTGGTGAAAGACCTCTATGTTTATAAATGACACCACCTCATCCCAACTTTGGCTTTGCAATTTATTCTGCAAATGGATAACAAGCCCTCATCACACCTTTTATGTAGTCTACAGATGCACCCTCCAACAGTCCCGATTAATCCTCTGCCGTTGTATTTTTCAGCCCCTTTTAAAATGTCCCAGTATTCCTCTCCTCCCCCCACTTTGTCCTCAGCTTACTTCAATGGCAGTAAAGTTAAGTTCAAAGTGCAAAACCAGTCTGCATCAAATTTACTCAGTAGGAGGGAGAGGAAAGGAGGAGGACGATTCTTGTCTTTCCCAGGAGACGCAAACTGCTGCAGCCTCTCCTAGCCTGTGTGTTCTTCCTCATTAATAATTTTGGCCATCTTGACCACTCTGAGGTTGCTTGGCTTGGCCACACCTTTCCTGATTTTCATCCACGAAATGGTGGTGGTTAAGCATAGTGGCCATGAAGGGCAGATCTGAGGAGGTGAGAGATATTTTGATTCAGCTGCCGCCTTTCTGGTTCTGTTAGCAAGATCAAAACAAGGGCCCGCAACCTCTTACATACCCAGCTCTCAACAGTCACCCCAATTATTTTGACCCCATTGGGCCCAACAACCGGGCTAGCAAATATAATGGAATACATCTGCAAAGGTCTTGGATACTTGCTGCTACTAGAGAGAGATACTTATTACTGAATCAGCATTAATATTTGCCTTTTTTTTTTACTTTAGAATTTACATGCATTCAGTAATCTTGATGGCCTAAGATTTAATGGTAGCATATTTTTATACTTTTCTTCAAAAGCTTGAGGACTAGAAACTCTGAAAGATGTAATTCTCAGGATCCTACAAAGAATCTCTGGGAATGAAAGGCATCATGGGACATGAGTAGAGCTTTTACAGAATTTATACGGGTACAAAACTGTCTGACTTTCTTCTCTTTCAAAAAGTCACTTGACTAATGTTATCAGTTACAATTCCCAGTCCTCCATATATAAGGTCTAATGCTCTGAAACAAGAGCTTTCTGAAGTTCTCACTGATCTGGAGGGAAGCCATGGGTATTTTTGGTAAGACAACCGAAATGACTGGAAGTCAACTAGAATTTAAAGCAATTAAATTATCCTGCTCCTGGTGTGAAGAAGGCAAGCTGTTAATGCACAGACAAGAATCCCCTGGGGCATGCGATAAAGAAACCGGGTCAGCGCTAAATTCTTTATCAAAGAAATGTCTTACAGTGGAGATACATCTAAAAGCATATTGTATGGGGCTAATCCGATATATGCAGGAGTTAAAACACAGAAATTTTTGAGTCAAAATGAATTCTAACAGCTAAGCTGTTAAGGTGTCTGTGCATCTATCTGCAGTGAAATGAAGTAAGAAAGCCTCTCTTGGATTGTACCACTTTGAAGTGCAAGAGGGACACATTATACACCTGCACATGTATGCAGCAGCACATCTCCACCCACCAAAGCACTTCTATAGGAAGCCTTCTCTCCATCACACTACTTTTTAATGGAAAGAGAAATCTCCCTCCCCGAAATAAGGCACATTCAACCATGCAAATCTATTTGCGCTTTTGACATGGAAAACTGCAGAAACCTCCATCTTTTCTTCCACTTCAAAATGCTTCATACTTCAAAAATGCATCACATTTCCAAAGAAATCAGACTAATGCACCCAGACTGAGTAAATAAAAAACAGGTTAAAAAAATTAAAATTTAAAATGGTGACAGCAGCTGGGCTTTAAGTGTTCACAAAACAACACAGAACAGGAAAATACACTTTCAATCATCCCTCTGATGGCTTAAAAGCCCATCACACCTAACAAATGCAATGTGTTGAGCCTGCTACATACATTCTGGCAGGGACAGTGGAACTCCCATTGTTGGTGACAGCAAACAGTATCAGGCTAGATGAAGCAAGGCATTTGATTCAGATTCTCAGATGCTTCTTTTCTCAGTTTCTGCAAATGAATAACCTCATATGATCCATGCACATGAGCACTAACTCCTGCTTCACTGAACCATCTTATCAAGTTTCTGCATCTTATCAAGTTTCCAACAGCATTTCTTCCACTGAGAACAGCCTCTCATCCTGTCACTCCATCTTTGTTCAGGTCTTCAGGCAACATCAGACAATCAGAGTGATGTAGACATTAGGATGTGGGTCCAAGGGCTTGTCTACACTATTTAAATACGTACTACTCATTCTAGTCAAACAGACTGCCATCAGGCCACATACAATTTAGAGGAATTTGGGCTTTTTGCAGGCAGGGAGAGAAAAACTCCATTAACTCCACTGAAAAGGGATTGATGTTTTTTACTGGAGTATCCATGAATATCTACAAAGATGCACCTTACCAAATGTATGGCTATCCCATCTGTTTCACATGGATGTGCATGGTTGCACATTTTCTCCAATGGGAGGGTGCACAGATGCAAATTTGCACAGGAAAGTGAAGACAATGTGAATGTGTGAAAATCCTCAGCAATTTGTATAATACATTTACATGTAGAAAACCCAGGTTTGAATACCCATTTGCCTATAGGGCCTAGCAAGTGACCTTTCTGCCTAGCCTATCTATTTATTGTTGAGCCTAACCTACCTCACAGGGTTGGTCTAAGGATAAAATAGTGGAAGACTGTGTAGACCATTCTGAGATCTATGGAGGAAGGGTGAGATTAAAATGTAATAATATAAAGTTGGAGAGTGGTCCCTGGTTGAGCTCCCTGCTCTTACCCTTCACTTTACCTTAGCTGTAGCACTCTGGGGGGAAACAAGCCTCACAAACAGACAGGGCAGGGCAACTCAAGGGTAGGCATATATGCGTGTCAGTGGATGCGTGTGAGCCCTGAAGACTCTTGGGCTTGCAGCATAGTTTCAAAGGCCGCCACTGATCCAAGTTCCTTATTTTTAAGGAATGGTGACATTTGACTAAAAGGTTTTGCTCAGCCAGGCAAGCGCTAAACTGCCCGTAGACTTTTAGTCCCTCTAATTTAAGAGCCTGCAACGAACAGAACAGACCCAGCAGATTAAATGGGGTTACTAGGCAACCCTACCAAATGGACAGCAACACAGATAATCCAGCCTAAAGTAATTATGCTTTTTATAATTAAAGATTACGGTAAATCCAATACATCCCAATAGGAACTTGAGCAATTTAGACACATACTGGCTGAGTTATCTATTTTCAGGCAGCTACATTAACGTCAAACCCTTAACGATAAAACACTAGGGAAAAAGCAGAGATTTTAATTTAGCAGGACTTCAAACAGGCAGCCAGTAGCCTTTGCATTAATTAACAGCCAGCCCCTATGTAGATGCTTTTTAAAAAAACAAAAACAAAAAAAGGTGCTAGAGCTTAAGTCCAGGTATGGCCAAATAGCCTACTTAGAGGGACTAAGCTTCCATCGCTAGGTTGTGATTCTACAAACATATAAAGTGGGAGAGGGGAGGACTATGGAAGTTTAGGGCTATGTTTATGACTATGCTCTAGACTACTAAAAACAAACAAAAAAGTCCAAGAGGCTAGAGGTAGACTCATAGGATCATACGGTTGGAAGAGACCTCAAGGGCAATCCATTCCAACCCACTGTCATGCAGGCATACAGAATCAAAGCACCCCCTGTGACAGATGGCCACCCAGCCTCTGTTTAAAAAGCTCCAAAGAAGAAGGCTCTACTACACTCAGAGGGAGTGTGTTCCACTGTCAAACAGCTCTTATTGTCCAGAAGGTCTTCCTAATGTCTAGGTGGGATCTCTTTTCCTGTAGTTTACATCCATTGTTCCATATACTAGTCTCTGGAGCTGCAGAAAACAAGCTTGCTCCATCCTCAATATGACACCTCTTAAAATATTTAAAGAGGGCTAGAAAATCCACTACAATCATATCACCTCTTAACCTTCTCTTCCTCAACTAAACAGCCCCAGCTCCCTAAGTCTCTCCTCATAAGATATGGTTTCCAGACCCTTCACCATTTTTGTTGCCTTCCTCTGGACACGCTCCAGCTTCTCAACTGATTTTGTTCATTCCAGGTCAAGGCTAAAGGTTTGTTGTTGTTATTGTTGTTGTTGTGTACCTTCAAGTAGTTTCTGACATATGGCATCCCTAAGGCTTCTTCAGATTTGTTCAGAGGTGGTTTGCCATTGCTTTCCCCCTGAGGCTGAGAGTATGTGACTTGACCAAGGTCACCCAGTGGGTTTCCATGGCTGAGGCAGGAATCGAACCCTGGTCTCCAGAGTCACAGTCTGATGCTCATACCACTAACTCACATTGGCTCTTTGATACAAATATATCCAAATCATTTTTTTAAAAAAATAGGACATTACTCAGTTCTGTGTTTTAGTCCTAGGTACATCCTAAAGCCTAGCATCCACCTGAGAATAACCCAATTAAATATGCCATCTCTCCTTCCTGCATTCCCCCCCCCCTTAGGACATTGACCAAAGACAGATTTCAATTGTTTGGATTAAGTGAAGACAACTCAAATTAACTATCTACCTCCCCATTTTCAGCTAATTTTAAAATTTCCCAGTTTCTCTTTCCTCCTACTTTCCCCCTTTGTTCTAAGCTTACTTCAGTTATTGTAAACGGAATTCAAGATGCAAAAGTAGTTTGCACTCAAGTAACTTGGGAAGGAAAGGAGGCGGAAAATTCTTGTCCTTCCCTGTAATCTCAGGCAAAAGTAAATACTGTAGCCTCCCCTAGCTTGTGTGTTCTTTCTTATTAATAACTTCTGCCACCTTGACCACACTCTGATGTTGATTGGTCATTCGTATCCCAGTTTTCATATGCAAAATATGAAGCATATTAAATTTGCTTCCAATGCTATTACCCATCTCCATCCACTTTACTTAACATCTAGTTTGATTAAAGGTTCTGGAGAACATGAAAGCTATGTGGACTTGGATTATTCTGGGCCAAAAAAAGCTTCCTTTCTTTTTTATAGGTGCAATAAGACACTGGGAGAGCATTTTTAGGTTTTTTCTGCAATGCAGAAAGCTATATAATTTTATTGCCTTGTTTAATCTAGCTGTTCTTCATTTAAATACTCTTGTATAATAGAAATACAAAATAAGATATTAAAAAGATAAACAGGAGCCCTCTCACAGAGTCTACAACCTAAAAGACAAGTAAAAATGAATATGGGAGAGAGCCACAAACACTCTTTCGATTCCTTGGGGGGAGAGAAAAAGACTGAAAATGTGACTGTGAGGGGTTGCCTTTTCATTCCCCATTTAACCCTGTTTATGTCACAGTGAAAACAACAACACAAATGTTTATTCTTTACTCTGGTGGTCTGAAGATATCTGCAGCCCATTTCCTGCATTTTGTTTTGAATTAAGAGTTTAGAAAGAACAAAATTTTCACATAACATAATTTGACCCAAAAAATGAGGAAAAAACAACTCTGCACATGCTTAAAGTGGCTTCATTCTGACTTCTGCTATTCCAGATATATGTCCTCCCATTTAAAATGGTGACTAGACTGCATTATGAATGAAGAACACATGGAATGAAGAGCCATATGAAGATGAACCCCAAATTCTAAAAAGTGAGGTGGAAACTGCAATAAGAGAAATAGCGAAAAACAAATCACCAGGAACAGATGATGTTCCAATTGAACTGCTGCAATCCACATTGACAGAGTCTAGTGCTGACCAGCATATGTCAAGAGATATGGAAAACAAAATGATGGCCAACAGATTGGAAGCAATGAATATACATCCCCATCCACAAAAAGGGACACACAAGACACTGCAGCAACTATAGAACCATAGCGCTGATCTCTCGTGCAAACAAAATCATACTTAAAATTCTGCAACATAGACTCCATGGAGAGAGAAATCCCAGAGGTCCAAGCGGGCTCAGGAAAGGAAGAGGCACTAGAGACCATACTGCAAACATACGATGACTAATGGAACGCACCAGGAAATTCCAAAAGAAAATCAGCATGTGCTTTATAGACTATAGCAAAGCCTTTGACTGCATAGATCATGAAAGGCTATGGAATGCCCTTAAAGACATGAGAGTGTCAACACATCTGATAGTCCTGATGAAGAATCTGTACTTAGGCTACTGTCAGAACAGAACATGGAGAAAGAGAATGGTTCAAGCAATTGATTTTGAGATTATCTGACCTTTAAATGTAGGTGTAAAGGTAAGACATTTTATATGTGTTGACACTTTGGGGTTTATAAAATGTAGGCATGTGTACAACAGGTACTATTTTGAAATATATTTATGTATTTTTACACTGTTGTGCAATTTCTATGGGTGTATATAAACATACATCATGCTTTAGAAGTTGGCTTTAAAAAGGAAAAAGCACTGAGGAGTCAGGAAACAGCATTTCTTCAACTCAATATACCCCTCCCTGCCCCTGGGAGTACCACAGTTCTTTTACATGACTGCACAATCCTCTCTCATCCCCATAATGATGCAAAATTTATTTGCACACTATTGCAAAAAGAAAAAGAGAATTCTGTATGTGGCTACTTAAAAATGGGTAGTCCAATAAGATGCATGGCAACGCTTCAAAAGGTTACTTTGGGGACTACAACTCTCAGAATCTCAAAACCAAGATGACTGCTGGCAATATTATCTAAAAGATTCTGGGAGCTGCAATCCAAAAGAAACTTTCACAAGCTCTTATGTCAGATGAGTGCCTAAAAAAAAGCTACAGCCCAATTCTGTCTTGAAGAAAGCAGGGGAATTTAAGGCTTAATGGGAGAAAGAAAAACCCAGCAGATGCATTTCTTCCTGTAAAATATTAACAGGGACATGAGGCTGATTTTATTCTAGTCACATTTTATTATTGTATTAATTAAAACATTTATATACTATCCTTCTGGTGCACAAGCACCACGTAGGTCAATTCACAACATTTCAAAATGACAACTATCTAAAAAAATCATATAAACTAATGAACCAGTATCAGTAGTTATATGGGTACAGCTATGTACATTATCTACATGCACATACCCCAAACATACGAACATTAGCTGTCAAGATATGGATAAGAAATTATCTGCCTAAATAAGAGTAAATCTAAATAAGGGAGGGGCTGAAGACAACAGTTGTGGCTTTCTGCCCTGAGGACAAGAATAACCGTCATATAACCAACTTAGATGGTTTTTAAAAAGCCATCATGACGGATCTCTTCCGGCAGGCATTCCCAGAATGACATTGTTACAATCTCTCTTCCGCCATCAGACCATCAGATCACTCTTCTATATATTCAGAGTGCTGGCTATTTAATAGTATTGACTTGTAGTCTTGTTTTAAGTTAATTTTAATGTTGATAATGATTTAATATATTTTTAAGGGGGGGGTTATATGTCTATTATAATTGTATGGGAGTGTATTTTAATTGTAAGCTGCTTTGATAGCCTCGGCTAAAGGCGGGATATAAATAAAATTTTATTATTATTATTTATTATAAGAAACTTGCTAGGGCATTGCATGGCTGTCTGGTGGACCCTACAATATGTGAGCATGACCTTCTCCAGAAAAATGAATGGGGGGGACAGAACAAAATCCATGGGGAGCTCATGCAAAATAATTTTTGCTGAGTCCGTTTTACAAACAAATCTAAAGGAGACAGACCTTCCTTCCAGAGCCCGATTCCAATGCAAAGACTAGATTGCATAGCCAGATTCTGGGCACAAATTATAACATAAAAGAATATAAGCCCAAAATTTCCTCCTTAATATTAAATAAAAATAAAGAGAAATCACAGCTTAGGTAATACACCAAGTATCTGCAAGAAAAGCAGTATCAGAGGCCTCATCTGAAATGAGAGCAGACATCCATCATAAAGGTGATTGTTAACCGACAAAATAATTAAATATTTCTAAAACTGATTAGCAATGAGGCCATATTTTACTCAACTTGACAGAAATAAAATAGAAATCTTGAAAGTTCATAAATACATCAGAGCACCATGTCAGATTTTCCAATGAGCTGTCTTCCATTCCAAGTTTCATATTGGGGTGAAACTAAATCTGCAGATTCTGTTACACAGCTACTGTGGAATCATAACCCAGGGGTAGGCAACCTTTCCCCTTTAAGGACCGAGGGACTTC